TAATTACACAAAGTGTACATTCCAAATACACAACCATGGCACAGTAATTTCCTTTAAAGATGAAGATTGGCATGGCATAATGTCAAATTTAAAATGTGGAGATAAGGTCGAGATTTTTGTGAGTATCGATCCTGGATTCGTGGTCAAGAACACAACTGTCTATTTGATCTATGGTGAATCAGAAAACATGGAAAAAGAGTCTCTGCCAAAGAAACATTCTCTTGTTAGATTCATAAAGAAAATTGTAAGGTGACTTCTGCAAAGTCATTTATCTTGTTTGATAACATTATGATCACTTTAGTTATGGAATTATTCCTAGTGTCCTTCATTACTATTTATCTTTTCCCATATTTTCTATTTTCCTTTACGGTATAGCTTATGCTTTAGAAGTTCGTGTTTATTTTACCCGTTTCTCATTACTGATTGTGATTCCTCGGCTTTACCTGAGTGTTTTTCTTGCTGTTACTTTTGTCCTTTCTTTTTCCTTTAAGCAAATAATGTTTCTTAAAGAAATTCTTTTAATTTCATTATGAAATAAAAGCATCTATTGATCGATATTTTTTTGTGTGTTTTGCTTTGCTAACTGATAGGTAATCTCTGTTTTCTATTAAATAAGAAATGTTAGTTTGACACGCTTAGGTAAATTTACATTTAAATGACGTCAAGCGGCATTTGTGAGTTGAAAAGGTAATACGAGAATGTTACAAAAAAGAGATTTCATTCTAAGTGAAATGTGAGAGCGCATGATCAAAACCATCATATACACTTAGCTTCACAACATGCACAACTACCAGCTTGGCCTTTCTATCACATATCTATAGCTCTAGCTCCATCCTTCCACCATGGATCTCCATCTTCAACTTGAACGGATATCTAGCTCCAACTCAGTTCTTTCACCAGAATTTCCAACTTCAGTTTAATCCTTTATTGGAAATCAAGTATGAGTTTAAGTCACACATTTGATAGAAATAAAAAAAATGAATATTAATAAAGATGAAAGGACTCGATAACTCATTATTTTAAGATATTATTTTAAGATTTTAAATAGAGAGTGATGTAAATTTTCCTATTCGACTGAGCTTTAATATTATTGGTATTTGTGGCTACATACTCAATTATTTAGTATCTTGTCTGCACTGTTCAATTGTTTACATCTATTTTATTTCTTTTATGCATAATTTAAATATATAAACTTTTTTCAGTTTACATTTTAAAGTTTCATTGACAGCTGCGTAGACTTTTCAATTTTTAGTTTTAACTAGATTTCTTTTTAATATTATAGTCCTGATCTAACCGAAGTATTTTAAATTTGTTAAAAATATTTAAACTTAATTATTATACATTAATTCACTTTATATTTCAGCAATATAATCTTTGAAAAACGTACAATTTTTGCAGACACATAACATGCTTATTAAACCTTTAGACTTTATTACCGATTGTAAAAATTGACATTAGTATGGTAATTAAATGTTTTGTACATAAAAGTTCATTTAATATATGGATTTTAAAAATGAGAATTGTACAAAAACTAAGATATATCGCATACTTTCTGGTTGGTTATAGCTAGTGTATAAAAACTAAGATGTTTTTATTAAATATTCGCATTATTTTGATTATTTTTGTGTACTTTTATGATTCTATATATTATATTATTTCTTACTAAAAAAAAAAAAATTTTAAGAAATTAAGAAATTATAAATATAAGTAGATAATTATAAATAAAGGAGGTATCAAACTCTCCAAAAATAATCATTAATAGAAGAGGTTCAAATCTTTCACAGAAAAATCTCTAAAATATAAATATGATATTAGAAGTCACAATAAACCTTAAAACCTCCACAAATAGTTTATGATGACTCTAATTTTGGAAGGTTAAAAATACCCCGCAAATTAAATAAAAAAGACTTCCATAGAATATCAATTTTTTTTATAATGATTTTCAAAATTTTATATAGATGTGAATTTTAATTATTGAATAAATTTAAGACTATACATGATGATAAATAATTTAAAATTACTATATAAATAAAAAATTTAATTATCAAGTAAAACCAACATTCAACATGAAAATTAAGAACTTTTTAAATTCTTATGTACACGTAAATTTTATCAGGAAAGTCAAAAATAAAAATGCAAACAATTCTATAACGGTAAAGGAATGGAATTATTTGTTATCATTATATTACACGAATAAAAAAATTAATTACCAAAATAATTCAAAACATAACATAATAAATCCAAGAATCAATAATTTTAAAAGTTATTATATTAAAATCAACAAAATTTGATAGTGCCATATAATAAATATATTTGAAGAATTATTAGAAAGAGATTAAATATATGTGTAGTCGTCTAATTTAACCTAAAACATTAATACCAGTTTTAACCTAAAAACTAAGATAATGAGTATTTCTTATTGGTTAAATGTCTTAAACTTTGACCACTTGAATATTCTAAACAATAATTTTTATATTAAATTATAAAAATAAAATGAAATCTTTTCTTTCGAATCCACTTATTTCCACATTCTAAAATCTATCCTTTAATCCAAACACAGTGAAAAACAAAATTTAACAAATTACGACTTCACAACCGGACGTTACTTTCTGCTATACACATCACTCAGCATGCATTACTTATTAAATAAAAAAGATGTTGTAAATATCATGCTAAGTAATTAGTTTGGTTTTCAACATAAATGTTGTCATAGTTAAATGTTTGTGCTTCAATGGTGGTCAGATAATGCTGAACAATACCAGAACACCAAAACACCCAAAGATATCAAAAGTGTCAAAGGAAACAAAGAGATACCCTTCTATCTTCTTTTATTTTATGTATTGCTCTCGTTTTCTTCGTTAATTTTGTCTTCTTCATCTTAACACCCTTATTACTTAAGTTTCTCTCCTCTTTCCCTTTTCTGTGTTTATCTTTCCTTTCTCCTCTATCACTTTATGCTTTTTCTATCTTTTTTTTTCTGCCCCCCTCCTTTTCTTTTGTTTTTGTATATTTTTCCATTGTCCTCTAATGCCTTGATATTTTATATCACTTTTTCAATCTTTATAATCCTATCTCCTTTTTTTATTCACTTTTTAATATTTCTCTGTTTTTCTTTTCAAAAGTAAACTAATTTACTTAGTTGATATTTCATTAGCTTTAATGGATACCTCTTATCTATTTTTTAGCTGAATTATCAGTGTAGTGACTAGAATCATGAAAAGCTATCTCTTAGGCTGATATTTCTAAATCAATTTGAATTAAATTGCATTTACATAATAAAATTCAGCAATTAGCATTCTCAGTAATATTGTTTTCTTTTATCAGATTTGCATCTCTCTCTATTACACATTGCATTTGTTCCTTATAATCTACAAAGACTAATATAAAGAAAGATTCACAGTGCGTTTTTTCGTAATGCTAAAGATGGAGAACGTCCATGAAATCCATCTAAAAGTATTCTCGCTTAATTCGGATGTAGGATAAATAATGAGCTGAAGCAAAAATGGAACCATTTAGCCTATTCAAGGTCATTATATACTAGTTAACCCTAAAACCAAAATCATGGTAAATTATCTTTAGGTTTCATAATATCTATGGATTATGAAAAATGGATCCAAACATGATTCACCAGGTTTTCATACATTGATTTGTAACCCTAATATAAAAATTAATGATATAGAAGAAACTAGTTTCTAACCCTAATGTTAGATTAATGAATGTGTTATAACATTGGCGGGTTAACCTTGTAACCTGTCTCTTTTATCTGAGGGGTTCATTGGGTTTTTGATAAAATATACGGTTTTCATTTTGGTGAACCTCACTATCAGTCTTAAACGAACCCAAAACAGGCAAATACCACCAGAGGAAGGACATCAAAACCATCAATTCCAACACTGGGATATACCACATGCGATAAACCACCTTGAATGCAGAAAATGAACACACTAGATACACAACAAGGAAATGAGCAGAAATGAGATACCCACTTCATTAAATAAACTTCCACTTACCTTATGCTAGAAAAAAAAATTAACTCCGTTTAAAATGTTTTCCAAGCATTATTTAGTATGTAATAGGGGTTGCAAAATAACTAGTGCTGTCAAAATAGATTGTAATCCGCGAGCCAACATGGCTCACAACGGGTTTGAGCCAGTTGAGTTTAAAAATAATGTAATTTTTTTATGCGGACTAGTTTTGAATTCAACTCACTTAGAATCCGGTTCACCATGTTGAATCCGTGGTGAGCCGGGTTGGCTTACTAATCCACCTAATTTAATTTAATTATTTATTATTTTGTGTTTCAATATTATTAGTTAACGTTTTTTATTATGTTCTAGATGGTGATAAAGAAGATGTTTCAAGAGAAAAAAATATTATAGATTTATCTATTCAAAACTCTAATATTATAAATGGAAAAATGATACAAAAATTATCAATATTAAAAACTTATTTGTTCGCCTTTTGTACATGTTTTTAGATTACGATTGCATTGTATGCTATTTTTTTTTAATTATAGATGAAGTTTAACATAATTTTAGTGTGACTTTTATTTAAATTTCAATTAAAAAATTATAACTTTTTTATTTTAAAAAGAACTTATAATTAAATGAGTCAGTGAGCTAACCCGTTTAACTCATCAATCCGTAGTGGATCAGTTGGATTCAAAACTTTTCAGTTCGCTAATAAGTGAGCCGGGTTGAGTTGTGAGCCACCCATAATGGACCAGGCTGGATCAGACGGGATTACCCGACAGCTTTAAAAATAACAAAGTACCCACTTATCATTTTACTATTAGTTATTAGCTGACTTCAACAGCAACAGCTTCTTTTTTACTATCCTCTATAAGTAAATGTATCAAAGAAGAGAATTACCATCACTGAAGAGTCTCCATAATTTGCTCACAAAGAAATGAAGCCTTTTTCTATGATGTTTTCGTTTATATATGTTCACCTGCTTTTCTACTTTACAAGCAACTCCAAACACAATGTTTTTGCTTCAGAAAGTGAGATCGATCATATGGCCCTTATCAAAATCAAAGAATCAATATTGAGTGACCCAAATGGGATCTTGTTTTCTTGGAATACTTCTACTCACTTCTGTAATTGGTATGGAATCACATGCAATCCCACACTTCGAAGGGTTACTGAGCTGAATTTGCAAGGGCACAGGTTGAAAGGGTATATTTCTCCTCACATAGGTAATCTCTCTTACATGAGAACATTTGAACTTGGGAACAACAGTTTCTATGGCAATATCCCACTAGAAGTGGGGAGATTGTCCCAATTGCAGAAATTCAGAGTTGAAAATAACACATTGGTCGGAGAAATTCCTTTGAATTTGACGCATTGTACTCAGCTCAAAAGTTTATATTTGTATGGAAACAATCTGAAAGGAAAAATACCTACTCAAATCGGATTGCTCCGGAACATTCAGTTTTTGAACTTTGGTCAAAACCAGTTAACAGGAGAAATTCCATCTTCCATTGGGAATCTTTCTTCAATAACATATCTATCACTTGGTTTTAACAATTTAGAGGGAGATATTCCACAAGAAATATGCTATCTCAAGAGCTTGATGATTGTAGCTTTAGGTATTAACAAACTGAGTGGATCATTTCCCTCCTGTCTTTATAATATGTCATCTCTTACTGCAATCGGAGTTGAAGAAAATCAATTTCGCAACTCTCTTCCACCCAACATGTTCCACACCCTCCAGAATCTCCATGTACTTTTTCTTGCTAACAACCAATTTTCAGGTCCAATCCCACCTTCCATTGAAAATGCATCCAGCCTTTCATTCCTTGATCTCTCTAGAAACCATTTTGTGGGAAGAATTCCAAGTCTTGGAAAACTACACGATCTTTATTACCTAAGTTTGGCTCAAAACAATTTAGGTTACAATTCAACTAATGATTTGGAGTTTTTAAAATCATTGGTAAATTGTACTAAGTTGGAAATGTTAGCTCTATCTTACAATAGTTTTGGAGGTCAATTGTCAAATTCTTTGGGAAATTTGTCGATCCGACTAAGTCAACTATATCTCGGATACAATGAGATATCTGGAGAAATCCCTGAGGCAATAGGAAATTTAATTGGCTTAACTATCTTAACAATATACAATAACCAAATTGATGGGAATATCCCAACAACTTTTGGAAAGTTTAAAATGCTTCGAGTGTTAGAATTAAAGGAAAACAAGTTGTCAGGAAAAATAGAACCCTTCATTGGAAACTTAAGTCAATTGTTTAATTTGAAACTACGAGCAAATCGATTTGAAGGGAGTATTCCTCCAAGTATGGGAAATTGTCAACTGCTAGATCTTTCAGAGAACAATCTCACAGGCACCATACCACTAGAGCTTTTCAATCTTACCTCTCTATTCATATTGGATTTGTCAAGTAACTCATTGAGTGGTAGTATACCAGATGAAGTGGGAAATATACGCAATATTAACTTTCTAGATATGTCAAACAATCATATATCCGGTCACATTCCTCTTGGTGTTGGAAAATGCGTAATGTTAGAGTACCTCTATTTGCAAGGGAATTCTTTACAAGGAATCATACCATCTTCTTTGGCATCACTTAAAAGCATTATATTTTTGGACCTGTCACAAAACCATTTCTCTGGATCAATTCCAAATTTCCTGCAAAACCTTTCTTTCTTACAGTATTTGAATGTATCTTTTAACATATTGGAAGGTGAGGTACCCACTGAAGGTGTCTTTCGAAATGTAAGTGCATTGGTGGTGAGTGGAAACAGTAAGCTTTGTGGAGGTATTTCTGAATTGCATCTGCCACCGTGCCCTCTTAAAATTAAGAAACGTGCAAAACACCGCAAGTTCAGATTGATAGTAATGATATTAAGTGTAGTTGTTTTCCTCATTGTACTATTATCTGCCTTAACTATCTATTGTTCGAGGAAAAAGGGAAAGAAACCTGTCCTCAATTCATCAACAATTCACCAATTGGCTAAAGTTTCCTACCAAAGCTTGTACAATGGAACTGATGGGTTCTCAGAGACAAACTTGATAGGGAGTGGGAATTTCAGTTCTGTCTACAAAGGAACTCTTGAGCTCGAAGACAGAGTTGTTGCCGTAAAGGTTCTAAACCTGCAAAGAAAAGGAGCTCACAAGAGCTTCGTGGCAGAATGTAATGCACTAAAAAATATCAAGCATCGAAATCTTGTTCAGATTTTGACATGTTGTTCCAGCACAGATTATAAAGGTCAAGAATTCAAAGCTTTGATCTTTGAGTACATGAGAAATGG